TAATTTCTCAAGAAGAAGATAAGAAAGGAAGATTGGATATAGGCCTATAACTGACCAAGTCATCTGGGTCAATAGACGGTTTCTGAAGTAAAGGTTTAATTGCAGCTACCTTAAAACCCTGAGGGCCATATCTCCGCAAAAGGGACAGATTAATCACATCTAAAATGGAGGAGGAAATCAGTGGAACTGGATCTAACATACAAGTTTAAGGCTTAGATGAAGACAATAGTTTTGCTAACTCCTATTTAAAAAAAGATCATGTAGAGGTCTAGATATATTCCTCATTTCTGTTGCACTGGTGACATCGTGAACGCTAACCCAGCATGCTGGCGTCACCAGACACGCAGCGGCGGGGGGGCAGAGGTTACGCAGATGCCAGCAAGGGATTAGATCAGTTTTGTTGCCAGTTGGAAGGAAGCGAGTCGGTCCACGCTACAGAAACACGGGTTAACGCACCATTTTCAGTGGGAAAATAGCCTTATTTTCAACTTCTTTTAGAGGATTGCAATTTTTGCCTTTTGCCAACGACAGTGAGTGAGTTGGTTGGCCAAAGGAAATCTAAATATCATCTACATATCAAGCTAGTTTTTCTCTTTTCCTTGAATATTAATATCTTTTATGTTTTCCTATTATTTGGGCAAATGGTTAAAAGGATAATGGATGTACTCTGTTGTTTAAGGTGCTGCTGGGTCTGCTGCTCCAGGACCGCGGACATACTCCACGCCTGCTTGGCTACTGCGGAGACCTGTACATGACGGAGCGGATCCCCAATGCGCCCCTGTATGGGTTCTCATTGCCCTGGCCTCTGGTTTCCTGGGTTCCTGGAGGCGTGCAGCGCACCATGGACCAGTGGTTCACACCTTCCTGGCCTCGCAAAGCTAAAATCTCCATGGGCCTGCTGGAGCTCGTGGAAGACATCTTCCACGGCACCTACGGGAGCTTCCTGATCTGCGACCTTGCCGCGGTGCACTTCAGCTACACCGACCGCCACGAGCTCCGTCTGACCAACACACACGTTCTGGTGCCTGAAGAGGAGTTCAGGCGCACCATGAGAGTCTCGAAGTGTGAGACGGATGCCGACTGCGTTTACGGAGTGGACTGCCGGACGTCCTGCGACCCGTCTGAGAAGCGGTGCAGGCAGGATCCTGTCATGCCCAACCTAGCAAAAGCGTGCGGCATGCTGAAGGACTACATCCTCCGTGGGGCGCCGTCAGAAATGAGGGAGGAGCTGGAGAGGCAACTATACGCCTGCATGGGTCTGAGAGGGAATGCTGGACAGATGAACATGGAGCACTCACTCATCCTCAATAACCTAAAAGCTCTGCTTTGGAAGCGGATCTCTCACACCAAGGACTCGTGACCTGGAGCGGAGTGGAAACAATGCTGTGATTTATCAACAGATACATAATGAAGTCATGTCTTTCATCTTCTTTATGAATCGAGATGCACTTTGGGACCAAATTCCAATCTCCCGTTTTGTAAAATGTCTAGACTACGAGACGATATTGGCCCCAAATCTAAATGTTTTTTGCTGCAAGCAGAGGTGATAGCATCAAGTGTGGGAGAACCGGAGCTGAAAGGCAAGTTTTTTATGATTTTTTTTTTTTTTACAACAAAAAAACAGCTAATTTTTTAGCTTTAGCATCCAACTTGCAGTTAGCATGACTAGCATAAAAAAAGTAGTCTCTGTATCCCCCTCAGAAGGTACATGCTGACCAGAACTTTGACATTCCAAACAAACACAATATTCCTTCTCAGACAGACATGGGGAGAACCTTCCTGTTATCTCCAAGTAGCCTCACTCTCTCTCACTTTCTTTCCCTTTGGTTAAACCAGAGACACACGTCTTTCTTACATCACTGTCTAACTTTTTATTTGTTTTCTTCCCTTTTCTTCGCAGACCAAATACTGATGGTAACAACCAATGTGTTAGGTTCACTGCCTCTGGAAAAGAAACAGATTTTTGAGCTTCTTACTGTTCAGAGCTAGTTAAGCTGAAAAATCCACTAATTATTTTTGCATCTGTATTTATATTTGATAAATCAAGTTGACCTACGTTTGGGTCCTATAATCTTCAACTCCATGTTTGTTTTTTTCTCATCAGGCAAGTCTAAAATGGGTCTTAGAACCTTATAATGTTTTATCATTACAATGGAGTATTAGGGCCATATAGGGTAAGGGATATTTTTTTCTCTAATTGTGAAAATTAACTTAATTAAATCCATGATATTAGATCTACAAAGTCCTAATATTATTAGAATAAAGTCACAATTCTTCCAGAACAAAGTTGGTACATGAAAAGATAAAAGTAATTAACATCTGCCCTTGTACAATGAGACAGTTTTTTTGTTTTTTTTTTCTGGTCACCGTGACCAGATGGGTCCATTTCTGTCTCAGCAGCCGCATGTTTCACCAGGTTGAAGGAGTCGTGATTCAAAGTCAACTTAAACTCTTGACTGTGGACAGAGATACCACTGTTCCAGCATCTTTCTTTTATTCTGTCTCGATTGATAATTCTTTCATCAAAGATTACTGTTTGGATTAGATGGTTTGATGCTGGTGGTAACAGTAGCAGTAAACTGGTCCCAGAGTCTTATTATAACTGGTTTTAGTATGGGTTAAGGCACGATCCTGACCTCAGCTCTGTTGGAACTTAGTGGACGTAGAACGTAGTTGGATGGTCCTTGGCTGGTCTGTGGCTGGTCCCTAGCTGGTCCCTGGCTTGTCCTTGGTTGGTCCCTGGTTGTACCCTGGCTGGTCCGTGGCTGGACCAGCTGGTCCCTGGCTTACCCTTGGGTGGTCCCTGGCTGGTCCCTGCCTCTTTCCTGGCTGGTCCTTGGCTGGTCCCTGGCTGGTCCCTGGCTGACCCTTGGGTGGTCCCTGGCTGACCCTTGGGTGGTCCCTGGCTGGTCCCTGGCTGACCCTTGGGTGGTCCCTGGCTGGTCCCTGGCTGA